AGAAGAAAGAGTTCTGGATGCTTTTTTAGTGAGCCATATTATTCTACCCACATCAGTGAAATGGGGAGGGGGGGTGTTTAGGATATCCTGGTGACAGCAACTGCCCAATCTTGTTTCAATTCAAAAACCTCTGAGTTGGCCCTGTTAGTACATGGACTGGAGATCGCCAGTAAATCCTACGGCAGTATTTTACACACTGGGAAGCCAAAAAAGTCCCAGAAGATGACAATGGAAAACTACTTCCATACTGTTGCCAAGAAAGCTACATGAATATGTCAATATAGTCCCCAGGAATCAAACTCGCCTCAAGAGCAACTTCACGTTTTTATTTTGCCATCATAGAAGCAGATTAAATTTATGTTAACATAATCCAAATGGCCTAGCTCTTTTAAATATTTCATCAGTAATGTGTGATGGACTCGTCTCCTTTCTCATTTTTAAAAGCCAGAATCTCCAGGAGACTCTTCAAATCAAAACTCTATTACAGTCATTAACCAGAAAGCCAATATTATAAATAAAACCTGATACACGATAAAAGCATCCAACAATCTTCATATGTAAGCAAAGTTACCTCTGCAAATAGACATTTTGTCCCATGATGGTGATCTTCTTGCAGCAAAATTCTGCCATTAAGTAACAATATTTTGCCATGGAATAAGTGACTTAAGGATTTATGTTAGACTTAAAGGAGCTTACATAAAATCCTTCAGTATGACCAAGAATATTTTTCAACAAGGGCTAGGCTAGCCATTGTCTTAAATCAGAATAAAAGGCACAACCTAAAAAAACATTCTGTAGGGATTCAATCACACCCTAATCATCAGGGAAAGATATCATTGAGAACTTTCCAAGGGCCTTGTTTGGTTCACAAAGAGAATAATAGTCCAGAGTGGTTCCAAATACAAAACATAATGTTCTGCTTCACCAAAGCATTTTTGGCCCTGAAAACTCCTGAGTGAAACACAGCCTGGAAGACATACATCAGCTATCCCAGGTTCCTTTTCTGTATGGGAAATGGGGAACAAAGACAAATATTTTGCTAACATTTCTATTCTTACCGGCTGGCTCTTTTTTCATTCTTTCTTCGGAGGTCATTGATATTCACAATCAGACGGTACCTGTTGTCACTAATCATGTCTCGGACTTTAGTCTGGTAAATTCCCTGATCTTCCTGCAAGGAGGGCAGATAAGATGATGAACTGTTTAGTTAGACAACAATAATTCATTTTTTTCTGATTCTATGGTTAAGAGCCAAGAGACCTTCCAGCTGCTCATGGTTTATTCAACGCTCTTCTGTAAGTGGAAGGTCTCTTGGCCCTTAACCATGGAAAATCCCTGGGTTCACTTGTTCCCTTACAATGTCTATCCGATGCAAAAAATAAAAGGAGGATATATTCTTGGTTACTTCAGCTACCCCGTCCAGATCTTGTTCTCTTTTAAGAGAAGGAATAGTTTCTTCTTTCTAGCTGACATTATTCTAGTGAGTTAGGATCTACATTAGGATCCTGAATTGGATATAAATGGCGGTTCAGGTTATTTTGGCCTTAAGGAATTCATAACTCTTCTATCCTTTTCCCTTGTTGTTCCTGTTGTTTCAGATGAGAGTGGGTACCTTTCAGATGTTTTGGATTTCAACTCCCATTAGTTCTAGCTAGCATGGGCAGTAGCAAAGGATCATGGGAGTTTTAGCTTAAGACATCTAGTAAAAAAAGGTTGTCTCTTTCCAGTTAAACTCAGTCCCTGGTGATTTTATGGATACACTCAAATACTAGCCTACAGCACAAGTATTTCCTGGAGGTCCTGCATCCTAGTATTAACCACTCTAAACTCTGCTTAGCTGTCCAGCCCATACAAAGCTCTTCTGATTGCCCCCTTCCAAGGATTTGAGCTACCATGGAAGAAAATATTAATTGGATGAAAAAAGGTTAAAACAACACGTTTAAAACTGTTCTCAACTGAACAGTTACTCCTTTCATCCTTAGCAAATTATTTGGGCTGCGAAATTATACTAACCAATCCAGAATGAAACAGATTGAAGCTAATCAGCTCTAGTTAAGCGCAATTCCGGTTCTCCCTCTAGAAAGGGTAATGCAACTTATCCGATCGGAGGGCATCAGGTAGGTAAAGACTGAAACGGAGACTATACCCTCCGATAAGAAAATGAAATTATCTCATCCCAGTTTAACTCCTCACGAAGTAGACTCTACCCATTACTTTGAAGAAAAGTGCTTTTCTGAATTACTACTCAATTCCTCCCACGACCAGGTCTTGCCAATAAATACCATGTTTATGACTTAGCAGCAAGACTGTCGCCTGGATAAGCAGCACAGCTCTCCGACCCCTGCTCACCTCATCGTCCAAAAAATCCAAGTAGTCTCGCTGAGCTTCTCGCAATTCTGCATCATCCAGGGTAGCTGGCGCGGGCGCTGCCATCTCAGGATCGAGACCAATTCCCCCCCTCCGCTTCTTTTCCTCCCGCGCATAAAAAGGCAACTTCGCTCCTTCCTGCAACTTTCCTTGGCGCGAAAATCTGACCCCTTTTCCCGCCAAGCCGCGCAGCGGAACGTCTTTCTCCCCGCCCCTGACGTCTTTTAGTTATTGCACCAGCGACCAATAAAAACGCGCATATTTTGCTCTATTGGCGCGAACGTTCCGAAGTAATCGCCATCAATGAAGAAAAGGCTGGGGGCGGGATTTGATGCGCGTAGTTTTTGGCGAAAGGCATCGTGGGAGCTGTAGTGTCTGAAACTCAGTTATCTGCATTCTGGTTTGAATTATCCACTTTTCCACTCACAAACTAAAGGCTTCAGTTGGAAGAACTATGGTCCCCCACTTAAATTTAAAGGGGGGGGGGAAACACGTGGGAGATACAGTACTTTTTTTAGAGAGACTAAAATGTTTATTCTTCAACTAATGGCACAGTCGACCGGAAAAGACGGAGTGACTTTGCTTTCCATATGTATGATGGGAAACGTAGTTTATCCGTATATCTTAATTCAAACTATTGTTGGGCGCTCCCTTTGCAATTCCTCATCCCGTAGTCTTCGCTTTATCAAAAGGTTGCCCAGCTTCTTTTCTGTATAAGTATTTCTCAGGAAAAGAAATATATTTCATGAAATATTACGGTATAATAATAATAACAAGTTACAGTGTTTCAAAACTAGGTATGAGATCTGATCTGCAAAAATCCGGACACCCACTAGATGGCAGCAATGAAATTTAGAAAATCCTTTGCCATCTAGGGGTCGTCCGGGTTTTTGAAACCCCAGTCTGGGAGAATTACTCAAGACTTCGCTATCCTTAACCCAAACTTGTCTTTGAATAAAAAGGGAAAGAGCTGGAAAAAATGAACATTTACTTCTATGTACCTAAGCCAGTGTTGTCCAAACTTGGCCACTTTAAGAAGATCGGAAGA